TGATTTTGAGTAAAATTTTTACAGATTTGGATATCCAGATCCTGACTATCTGAGGAGGGTCAAAGAAGACCTGGCTGCTAAAGGAATCCGCTGATTGAAAGCAATCCTACGTTTTTTTAAGGTTGAAATACGTAGGAGTTAATGTACCTCTCTTTTTACAGTAGTATTGAAACATCGAGCAAAAAGCAACTTAGCTTAAATCACAGGCTTCTCACCTCGAATCGAGTTGATAAGCTTCTGCTAAGTAAACAGTTACCCTCGTCTTCGCGGACTCAACTTTCTTTCCTTCTCGAGAGACGTGCAAGACTGCACCTAGTTTGGTTAATGTTGTCGCACCAAAGGTAAAACCCAAGCAACTGCTAATCGTTAGCATCACGGGCTTCGTCGTCATAATAGAACAGTTCGGATCAAAACTAAGACGGTGAAGGAAGAACACAGTTGACACGTTTAGTAGTAACATTCATTTGCATAATTGAGTAAAAACTTTTTCTGTTTAAAATTTGAAATCTGCTGGTCTCGTTGAAAGAGAGAGCAAGCCACAAGCCAAATTAAGGCATTTCGTGTAAGTTTGAATGCAATATACGTGTGTCGCGCAAAATAGTGAAAAAGCAGTCTTTTGGCATAAGTGAGTTAATAGGTTTCACGTTAGCTCTTGACAGCGTCGACCAGTTGCATTTAAAGCACATAGCGAGACAAGATTAGTGTATTGCAGACCTTGCTGGATTTGTGTTTAATTTTACAGGAATACCGGTGAAAGTCGTTTGTCGATAGTTTTACTTTTTGAATCTAGCATGATGGAGTTCAAGATATGGGGATAACGTATCAGTGAGATATCGTATGTCCTTGAATAGTCTAATACTAGTTATCTTGGCGATGTTGCTGTGTGTAGTTTTGTATCAACTTGAATTAGTTTAACGCGTAAAGGCAACAACGGGCTTGCATATTTGTAGAAGTGATATTATAGCCGAGTATACCTGATTCATCTTTTCTTGTTAATTAAAATACTTAAAAATACTTGTGATTACTTTGAAGTTAAAGTTAGTTCGGAGTCTATCTGAACCATCACTGAGCAATTTGATGTTTTTTAGAGCGTTGTGGTCTTGCCCAGCTTAAAAAATGGCGAGAATTCAGTACGGAATGTAAAATACAATACAGTTGCCAGAACCCCGTCGCTCCCGGGAAACGCCCATGTGAAATGATCTGGGATGCCTCTTTTTGCTCCAAAGTTTTGTTTACCTCTGAAAGATAAATATTGCAAATACTATTTCATGCCTGAGCGGAATATCCTTCCAGTAGGCAACACGAACATGGTGGTTTTGAAGAGCAAGTGAGTGGGATTCAGTAAAGAAAGCGGTACGCGTGCCAAGGATACAATAATACGATGACTTTTTGACTAGAGCGATCTCAAAAATTATTAGCTAAACCCTCCACCTCCTTCTCCCTTTCTCTTCCCTCTTTCCACTACTTCGTCGAATTTGGCGTAATACTGGCGTCGGACCACGAAACCTTGAAAACTTAAATAACGTTGATGTGGACAGAGAACAGACAGAGACAGAGAAGTCTAGAGATTCAGAGCAAACATTACACTGGCAACAAATCGAGAAGCCCACTGAACTCTTGCCGTTAATCTCAATGCGGTATACGTAGGAATAGAAGGCACACTGCCGTGACAAACACGAAGGACAATGTCGTAAAAATTATCATTTTATAAACTTGACGTTTCAAAATCATAGTTTTAGACATACGTTGTTTTGCTATGTTTGTCACTACAGTGTACCTTTAATTTTATTCCTACTAGCTGAAATTGAAGTTGTCGAAGAATAGGAGTGTCAGTTTCTCACATAACCTGCTTTATTATATGGAGAAGAGTGTTTTACTGGGAACTAAACCACTCGTAGATTCCATACGCCACTTCA